GAGTGGAGAATGACCCCCCCCCCCCCCAATTTCTATTATCAAATGAAATATTTCGGTAGTATAACCCAAATCTATAGCAGTTCCAATGACAGAAGCAGTGCTCCTTGCAAGCCCAGCACTCTGTCCCCTCTGGGTACGGCAGGGAGATGCCCGGTGCCCACACGCCTGATGTGTTTCCCCTTCATTTCCTCCCTCCTTTCAATTCCTGCCCCAGTTGTTACTGTGCATCTTTGAATCCCCCTGTCTGGGCACCCGTGGTTGTGTGGAAGGAGTGCAAGGAGAACATCTGCAAAATACAAAGCAATAATTTATTGGCTGAAAAGTGGCCGAGACAGCTAGGACTTAATGAGCTACTAGGCTAAATATTAATGTGCTTACCACTTTGCTAAGGCACCTGCAGAGTCCTTGCTGGCCAGGCAGGCACCAATCCACAGGGGACTGCAGGATCCATCCCCATGGCTCACAGGAACAACGCTCAGCGCTCCTCCGCTAGGATTTTATGCCTTTCAGTGTTGGTATTCTTCTTGAATCTTTGAGCTACTAGTGATCCTTGCCTCAGCAACCCTACCTGCACCTGTAACTTCACCTGCCTCGTAACTCCTGCTGTGAATGAAGTTTGCACCCTCACCTGGCATTTTCTGAAGTACCGCTTGCAACTGTTAAGGCCATTAACAGGGTTTATTTTTAAATTATACTTTCCTTTAAAAGGCAGCCATGCAGAACAAGAGCTGTGTATCCTGGTGCTTTAGTGAGCCTCACAAGGATCAGGAGGAGGAGGGTCTCACGCTGCCCAGCTCCAGCTGCTGGTGGAGTAGGTGTGACAGTACCAGGCTGTTGACCCGCTATGGACAGCCTTTACTGCAGCAGGCTGAGGCATGTTCACACCTTGCCAGTGGCTTTTAAGGCTGATTGCTAGGTAGAAAATGGGGCTGAGGCTCAGGACTGGTGAAAGAACTGCCTCCAACCAGGATTCCCTCTCTGCCAGCTTGGGAATAGCCTGGTCCCAAAAGAGGTCACCCCTTGCTATGAGCCCTGGCATGACAATGGCTCTCAGGAGGTGTGACGGCAGGGGACATGCAGCTCACCCTGCACAGAGCAGACTCAGGTGAGGGGGAGGACAGCAGAGCACTAACCAGATTGTTGGTGCATGCTGTAGATGCTCCCAGCAGGCAGGAGCTCTGCGTCGATTTGTTACAAAGCTCGACCAAGCTTTGCTCAACCACAGGAGAGCTGGGAAATTTCCCTTTTGATTGGCAAATGTGTGCAGACCCCCTGTCTGTGGCTGTAAGACGCATCCTTATAGCCACATGATTTGTGCTGAGGCCTTCCAATGAGTTATGGTAGCCCAGCAAAAATGTATGGTCTTAATAAGGCATCTTTCTGTGTGTCCTTCCCTGGAAGAGAAAAACCATTTGTCAGTCTTGCCCAAACTATCATGCTTGGCAAATCTCCTGCCTGGGCACTTCCCATCTAAAAGATGGCAAAATGCAAACTACGAACAGGTCCTGACATGGGGAGGTGCTGGACAGCTTGATCTTTGTGCTCTGCCATCTGAACTGTGTGCGAAGGAGCACCAGCAACTATGTTATTGTAACCCCATCAAATATTGTTGTCTACAAGACTCTGTGAGCCCTAAATACCATACTTGTTGGCCTTTGCTGTGCTGTGTTTTTGTGTTCCCAGGATGTCCTGTAATGACAGTAGGAGAAAGTTCATTTCTACCCTGTGATATTTTCAGGTGACTTTTTATATCCTATGATGGCAAAAGAAAATTGTGCAATAGATGTCCTCTTACAAGCACTGCAAGATCTTACTCCTGAGGATTTTCTAAAGTTTAAGAATAAATTATCACGTATTAGTTACAAAGGAAGATGGAATATCCCCAAGAAATCACTGGAAAAAGCCAGCCATGTTTACACACTTGTCAACTGCATGAGTGAGCACTATGGAGAAGACATTGCAATGGAGATAGCAACTGGTGTGTTTGAAGAGATGAACCGGAGAGACCTCGCTGATAAAATTCAAGATGAAAAAGTCAAAGGTAGGAAGCTGGACTAAATTTTACTTTTCTTAGTCTCTTTTCCCTTGAATGTTCCTAGAGATAGGTGGAAATCAGTAAAAAATCAGATTTCAGCTCCCTGGGGAGCCTGGAAACATGAGTATGTCCAACTGTGATCCTGTTAGCATGGGAGGCTGGTAATGACCTCTCCTCTTGCTCGTCCCATTTATGCATTGTGGGGCTTTCTCTTCTCTCTGGAGGTTCCCCTTACTGTACGGGAACCCTGCAGCCCAACAGGGTTAACCAACACCCCCTGGTGTTATGGGTGGGGGTGCCTCAAACAGCCTAGAGCCTACCTCCCTGCCTGCCATGACACGATAGCCCCATCCAGGAGAGCAGGAACGTGCCTTGTGTCCACCACTGGAGGCATCCTCCACAATGTGTACAAAGTGGGCCTGGAAGAAAGCTGTCTGAACGTCTCTTGATGCTTAATTTCCTTCTATCGCTCCCCAATTACTGCACTTCCATCTTTATCATCAGCTCATGGCTTTGATACCTTACAACCTTGTTCTTCCACTTAAACATAGAAGGCCTCCATGGTCAGCGGTTATGCACTTTGTATCGTGCTCCTGTCTCTGTGCAAGTCCTGCTGGCATCTGTACACAGCCCATACCATAATGCTGAGGTCTGATAAGCCCCTTCCAGTCTTTTACTTCCCACTGGCTTCAGCTGCTGTGACCTGCTACCCTTTTAACTAGGGGAAGAAGCAGCAATGCACTGAGGTTTGGAGTAAAGGAAGCATGCCTTCTGCAAGAGGCCTGAGTGAATTGCCGCTCTGCGCCTGGTCCCTGGTGTCTGTACGCAGTGGGAAAGTGCCCCCGCTTGGGCACAGCGGCTGTTGGTTGTGCTGCATCTGGGAAAAGTGTGCCCGCGTGGGAGGTGAGCTTCCCCTGGGAGAGAGAAGGATGCCCAGCAGCTGTGAAGCGACTGTGGGCAGGCACTTGCCACCCTCGCCCCTGCCCTGGCAGAGGGCTCTGGCATGTGGGATGGAGGGAAAGTGTTGGGGTGGCGCCAGGTGCTGGCCAGTGCCCTGCCCTTGCCTGGGTGCTGCTGCCAGAACTTAGAGGAGGTCAGAGAGGCCTGTAAGTCATGGCTGGGCTGAACAGCTTGGCCAGCACAGCCAGGCATGAGCAAAGGTCCCCTTGGCTCCCAAAGCCACCCCCACGATTACCGCAGATGCTGCACTGGCTGCCCTTCCAGGCACTGTGTTGGAGAGAAACGAGGGTGCGGGGTTGGGGTCATGGCTCATTCACCAGACACACACCAGGAGTGTCATTGTCCCATGTCCCCGCTGCAGTCAGTGTGGAGAAAGGGGCCCTGTAGAGTGGGAGGTAGGACGCAGGTCCAGGCTGGGCTGAAGCGCCCCGGGCGCTGTCTCCCTCTGCCCTCCCCGCTCTGTACCTCCCCCTGGACTTGCAGGGAGCAGCATCTGGCAGCTCAACAGTGGCATTGCCAACCCCAGGCCTATGCCACTCAGGGTAAAGAAGCCCTTTGTCTCTCTGCACGGCCTGGAAGGCCTTGGAGAGGCCAGGGCTTTCCAGAGCCTTTTCTCTTGTGCTGAGGAGTAAGTGCATCTCTACAGGGCCAACAGCATGCCACAACTCACTTTGCCCTGCACTGGGCCTTGTGTTTATTACCATGTGTGGAACAACTACCTGGGGATGTCAGTTTTGCTCCCAGTGTGGCACTGCAGAGCTCCCATTCGGCAACATTTTGCACCTGGAGGTACCCCAGGTGCCCAATGACAGCGCCTTTGACCCCAGGAGTAGTGGTGCACAAAGACTATGGCTGTCTCCAGACAATTGCATTTGCTCTACCCAGTTTTAGGCAGAGGGCTCAGCAAGGGAGTGATGGGCCAGGGATTGATAGCAAGCAGGAGATGTGAAAAGGTAACCAGAACAGCTGAAGGGTGCAGAATTTTTTCTCGGCCATTTTTGCAGACTCTCCTCTGGTTTCCCTATCAGGTTGCACTTCTGGGGCTGCGGGGCAGTGCATCTTCCTTGTCCCCGGGGTGAATGAAGAGGCCTGAGGACTGGGGAGTGGCTAAAATGGCTGTTGATGGATCAGTGGGCGGTGGGGGCCTGGGACATATGTAGGACCCCCTAGCTACCACGGGCCCTATAAATTTCTGCAGGCAATATCTTTCTCATTTGCCCTAGTCTTTAGCTCTGTCGGATGAAAGAAAGCCCTGAGCCCTTCAGGAAATTGCTGATGCTGAGCCTCCCCTTCTCCAGGGGACTGTGCCACACTCCTATGATAATACTCATGTTCAGTTCTTCATTCAGTTCAGGGTTCAGTTCAGGTATGGGCCATTTAAACACAAAAAGAAACAGAAAACAGGTAAGCAGTTATTGCAGCCATGAGACCAGGGTTCACCTGCCTACCAGGAGGACACTAGGCACACCTTGGGGACAATCCTGGCAGAGCCTGAAAGAAGAAGGTGGACTTTGTGGGTGACATGGAGGAAATAAGCTCCTACGGAGCCGCTGGTTGTACCACTTTGCCTCTCAAAAATTTGTTTGTATTTCCTGAGGCTGGCTCTACACCAGCCATTGCTCAGGTTTGGGGAGCTCTCCTTAACAAAGCTTGTGAAACAGATGTCATGCAGCCCTGGTGTGCTGTAAGAGTAGTTCTATTGATGAGAAGCTCCTAAGAAATCTGGCTTCATTTGGAACTGACTTTGCTTCTTGTTGGTTTAGAGTATAAACAGAAATACAGAGCACATGTCATAAGAGAGTTCCTTCACTATAAAGAAGTGAATGCTCGTCTCGGTGAGAACCTGACTGTAAGTAGCCGCTACACCAGCCTGACGATTGTTACAAAGCCTCAGACCAAAAGTGAAGGAGAACAGGAAACCCTGGGTGTAAGCCAGAGACATGCAGACACCAGCAATGAACAAGCTAACGCTGCTGTTACCGTGGCACAGCTGTTTCAACCTGATGAAGAAGTACAAACGTCCCAGACCGTTGTGCTGGTGGGAGCTGCAGGAATGGGAAAGACAATGACAATGAGGAAGATCATGGTAGAGTGGGCAGAAGGAGTCCTTTATACGCAGTTTGACTATATCTTCTACATAAACTGTAAAGAAATTAGCCCTACTAAAGAAGTGAGTGTGGCAGGCTTGATTTCAAAATGCTGTCCACACAGAAGTACACCAATCGGAAAGATTCTGGATAATCAAAAAAAGGTCCTGTTCCTTATTGACGGCTTGGACTACCTGAGATTTTCTTTGCTTCAGCCAGAAGGTGACCTGAGCTCTGACCCCAGGGAAGAGAAGCCACTGGAAACCACTCTGGTCAGTTTACTTAAGAAATTTGTTCTCTCTGAATCCTCCTTGCTGATCACTACGAGGCCAACGGCCCTTCAGAATCTGGGGCAGTGCTTAGAGGGCGAGTGTTATGCAGAAATACTGGGCTTCTCAGCAGCTGCGAGGGAGGAATATTTCCACAGGTTTTTTGACACCGATGATAAAGCAGATACAGCCTTCAGGTTTGTCAAAGGCAACAAAACACTCTTCGCCATGTGCCTTGTCCCCATCATGAGCTGGACTGTCTGCACCATCCTTAAACAAGAACTTTACAAGAAGAAAAATCTTACAGCGAGCTCTAAAACAACCACAAGCATGTATGTGTTTTACCTTTCCAGATTACTGAAGTGCAGAGCAAGTGATAGCAAACAGGACCTGCAGCAGTTCCTACGCAAACTTTGCTGCTTGGCTGCTGACGGAATGTGGATGCACAAGGTGCTGTTTGAGGAAAAGGAAATCAAGGACCGTGGCTTAGATCAGCCAGACCTTCTCTCCCTCTTCCTCAATGAGAACATTTTAAAGAAAGGCATAGACCATGGGAATGTCTACAGCTTCATTCATCTGCACCTCCAGGAGTTCTTTGCAGCAATGTTTTATGTCCTGGAGAATGAGGAGACACTAGGTGACTCAGGGGCTCATGTTAAGGACGTAAAAATGTTACTGGAAAACTATAGCAAATCTAGAAAGGATTTGATGGTAACAATGAGTTTCTTGTTTGGTCTGGTAAATGGAAAATCCATAAAATACATGGACCAAAGAATTGGGTGTAGACTTTCACCAAAATTTAAGGAAGCTATGCTGAGATCGATTGAGGCAAGGCCTAGAGGAATTTCGCCTCCAGGTGAAGGGACAACGAAGATTAAGGAGCTGGCTATTTTTCACTGTTTGTTTGAGATTTACGAAGAAGACTTTGTGAAGCGTGCCTTGAATTATTTCACTGGGCTAGAGTTGCATGACATCAAGCTGACTCGATATGATCAAATGGCTCTTTCATTCTGTATCGAGCAATGGAATAGACTGGACTCAGTGACCTTCAAAGGGTGCTCCTTTGAACAGCAAGATTACAAGGAAGAGCTGGTCGCAAGCTCCGCACCAGGGTTATATTGGTAAGTATGACTCCTTTCTGCTTTAGTAACTGATAACGATGGAAGGATTTACCATGCTAAAACCTTAATGAACTAGTGCTATGATGCACTCCCAGCTCCCTTTCATCCAAACCTCTCTTTCCACTAGCAGTTTCACTCAGCTCCTCAGCAGAGGATTTTACTTAGGCTCCAGGAGCACTGTAGGAGAATGAAAGTCATGCAGGGTCCTCCACCTGCTGTGTACAGGGGGATCAAAGGAGATGCAGCATCTCAACTTGACTTCCCGGGTATCACAGTTCAGCCTCCCCCTGCCCAGGCCCAGAGGAACCCAGCGACCCAGGGGCAAGGCTGCCTCTTCTCCCTGGGCCCTTTGGTCCTGTCCATACCACGCAGCATGGGCAGCAGGGCCAGGCACAACCAGCGTGGCTCCAACAGCAGTGAGCCACGCTCTGGGAGCTGGCAGTAAGCCTTGCTTTGGGATGCTTAGGCACCGAAGTCTAAGGTGGGACCTACAGAAACTCATGTTTGCTGGGTGGCAGGTAAAGGCTGTCTGTGTCTCTCCTTCCTTCCCTTGGCATGGAGGGTGCGGCAGCTCCCTCTTGCCTGGTGAGCTGGAGAGAATACCAGCCCCATGGTTTTCAGGAAACGACGGCCGGCGGAGGAGCAGCAGTCCCCTATCTCCCTGCTCTGCCAGGCGCTGAAGAACACAAGCAGCAAAGTAAAAGCGCTCAGGTAAGAGGCCTGCGCTGTGCCATAAAGACAAGCAAATGAGGCGGGTAAACCTCACCACCCGCGCGTGGCTCGTGGCCCCACGAGCCTGAGGTGCTGCTGGTGAGGAGGCTGCACCCTCCCCATGCCGTGGCCCCCAGAACCTGGCCCCCATTTGGGAGGGGGGAGGCAGGCTGGGATTGGTCCCTGGGGATGGGTGGCCAGGGCTATGGGAAGCCCCTCTCCTTGCTGCCCATTGGGGCAGGCCAGAGCTCCTTTTGGGTCTGCCCTGCTAGGGGATTGGCTGAGAGTGGGGCTGAGCCCCCTCATTGGTCCCTCCATGCTGATTGGCCATGCTGCAGGTAGGTGGGGTGGGCGGAGCTCTTGGGTGTGCCAAACTGGTGGTTCTCTGCTGCTCTCTCCCACAGGCTGCACTGGTGTGGCCTCACGGAGGGCTGCTGCGAGGACCTCGCTGGGCTGCTGGCCACGCACCCCAGCCTGGCCCAGCTGGAGTTGGGTGACAACAAGCTGGGCAACAGCAGTGTGCGGTTGCTGTGCAAGGGACTGCAGCAGCCCACCTGCCGGCTGCGGGCCCTGCGGTGAGTGATGCTGGGCTGTCCCCAGCTCCTCCTGGTGACCTCCTTCTTGTTGGCCCTCTGGCACCTCCTACTGCTGTGGTTTCAGGTGTCCAAAGGCCAAAAGGTGCAGGGTGGAGTGGAGTGCTTGGGCTGGGTGGAAAAATGTCCTTCCAGGGCGTGATCGTCCCTTCGTCCCACTTTCCCAGGGATGTGCCGTCCCCTGTGAGTGTTAGCTTTTCCCAATGCAGAGGTGCCCAGGGTGAGTAGCTTAAGGGCAGGAACCCTCAAGCTGCCTCACAGTGGCAGCTGTATGGAGACTGTCACCTGCTAAGGTGCAGGATGGCCATATAGTTGGTGTGATATAGTGTTTCTGCTCCTGATTGTTGCTGGGTGGCCAGGAATGGGGCTGGCCCGTGGGACCTCAAGTTGGAAGAGTGGTG